GGAAAGAAATTGGCTTTGTATGTGCTTGCTTTCTGCTTTGTTTCTTCCTGGAACAAAGAGAAACAATGGAAGGAAATGTGTCAAAGGCATTTTAACAGCAAAAAACCTACGTATACTTTTTTTTTTTTAATTGGATGGTTATAGAATCTTCTAGTCATGTGGAAAGCAAATGAGCAGCTTTCATGAATGTTTTCATAAAAGAATCTGATAACATACCTAAGAAAACTGTAAAAATAAAAAAATACTAATTACTGTTGAATGCTGTGTTCTGTGTACCTGTTTGAAGCATAGTTAGAAGACCCAAAGACATTTTTCAACTCAGTAGTTTACACTGTAAACAAATTTTCTGTAGTTGTTTTCTTGCCTTTTTTTTTTTTCTACTTAAGTATTTTTGAAAGTATTTAAAATCTTCAGATGCCAGTTCTGCAGGAAATAGTCTAGTATCAAGTGTGTAAGCTGACTAAGATCACATGCTAAGGAGCTTGCTGACATTGCCTTTTAACAAACTGTTGCAGTAAGTGTAAGTAGTTTGGTCGATGCGTAAAGCCTGCCATGGGAGAGGATGTTTTGAGAAAAAGTGTGATCCCTCTGTCCCTAGCTCTTAGGTCACTTAGTGCTCACTCTAAATGGTACAAAAATGGAATAAACAATAAAAGGATAAAAAAATCAAATGCTAGATACTTGTATCTTGATAGAATAGAGGGCATGAGAGAAAATCAGTCCTGAAAGGTGATCACAGGGCTTGTTAACATACCACAGCTGCCAGGATGGAAATCAATGGGCTAACGTTTGCAGTTCATATGAAAAGTGAGGCCACACATGCAAAAGAAACACAGAGAATAATTATTGGTGTTGGTTGTCATCAAAATGAGGATGCCTTGTGACCTTGACCTAGATTTTAAGCTGTGGCTATTGGCTGGAAATGCAGAATTTTGCAATGTCTACAAAGGGAAAACACATGTCAGACACCACCAAGGACAAAAGCATGAAGTTGGTGTAGTTGAATATTATTGCAAGGTATGAAACCATTTGAACAGGAAAGACTGTGAAGTTTCTGGCCAAGACAGAATAAAAGAAAACTTGTATTGGTAGCATGAGTGCCAGAAATTAGTCGTCAGTGTGGACTAAGCAGGGTATGTGCATTGTGTACAGGAATCTAGAATAATTATCTTCTGTATTTGGGATATCTCACCTTGTTGAATGGAGTGTAATGAATGTCTATGGCCTAAACTGTAAGGTAAAACTGGTTTTGGCTGGTTTTGTTATAGCAAGTAAGCAACCACTTCTGAAAAAAAAAAGCAAAAACTAGCTGTATCGTGCAGAAATAGGAAACTGTTGAAGCACAACATTTAAGTGTGGATTGGATGAACTGTTCTTGCGGGGGAACCACTGCCAGTACTGCGAAGCAAGCTGTTTCTAGTGGGAGCAGCAGGGAATGCTTACTGAGGTGCATTACCTTCATTTCTTAGATAGCAAAGAAAATTATGTAGAGTGTGCTATGCAAGCTCTGTCATGCAGCTGGGTATGAGTTCTGAGCAAAGCTAAACACTGTCACTGCTGTAGAATGCTGTCTCTGTGTTGATTGTGCATTTATGTTTTTTTCCCCCTGTGCAGAGGGGGGCGATTGAAGAATTGTTTAATATGCAGAACGCTTGAAGTTTGTTTTCAGTTTCAGTAAGATGAAGGGTAGTGCTTACTGTGCATCAGGTATCTGAGATGAAAGGAGGGTGCTGAACTTTGTAATTAGCATCCCTCAGTCCATACTGAAAAGCTTGAAAAAGCTGCATGTTGGAACTGGAACATATAATGAATTTCAAGTTGCAGTTTTGTTTCTGTTGCACTCCTGAAAGATGCAACAGAAAGGATTCAGTATTCTTCCTGACCCAGGAAAAATATTGAAGGAGCCACACGAGGACTGTTGATGCAGGCTGCTGTGCTTAGATCCTAGAATTATACTGTAAAGGGTCACAAATACTTTGTAGAATTAGATTGTCAGAAGCTTGGATGTATAAAAGCGTCTTTAACGTCGTGCCTATGAAAAAGCTCATGTTGTATAGACATAAAATAATTTGCTTTAAATTTAAACGTGTTTGAATATATTCTTTTATCATTTGTTTCACTTCCCTGAGTGAGGGTACATTTCTAAATCAAGATGCAAGATATGATAAGATGTAATTGATGTGGGAAGCTGCATGTTCTCATGTGATACCCAAGGGTGCTGTTTGTTACATGTCACATCTAATTTTCAGCCTCACCTCTGCTAGTAGAATTTTCCTTACTCTAAACCATATTTGGAGCATTTATGAAACAGTAAATACTGAGGTTTGCATAAAGGTATTCCAAGGTTTTCTAAGCAGTGTGTATTTGATGCACATGTGTGTAAATTCATCTTAGTTTGGTGTGGAAAGCAGTGTGTGGGGGTGGTGTGTTTGTTTGCTTTGTCTCTCTTAATGAGGTGGCCGTTTCTGTGCAATTGCTGCTGGATCATTGCTGGCAAGAAACTTAGAAATCCTCTTAGGATGCACTGGTATTCTTGCAAGTTTGTTTATAAGATAAACAGAAGTTACCTATTTGAGTTACTTATGTTAATTCTAGGATGCCAAGTCTTGTTTCCATATGTGAATGCTAAGTTTGGAACCATGGCCATGGAGGTTAAATTTCAGGTACCAGCTGTTAGTGCTGCAGGAAGGAAATGCAAAACTCTTTCTCTGTTCCTAAGGATTACTGAAAATGCCATCTGGAACTGTGTAAAACCATTGGGAACTCGTGAACAGTTGAATTAACACACAGGGTTTTTTCCCCATTCTTCCTATGATATAAGATAGTTATACTTGTCATTTTAAGAAAAGAGCTTCAGGAATTATTTTATCCTGAATAGGCATAGTTTGCATCTGACATTTAAGAACCTCTGCAAAGAAGTTCAGATATGAAACCATGTGCTTAAAAAAAAAAACAGGTGCTTTGAGGTAGTCTGTCCAGGCTTTTTATTTATTTATTTAAGGGGTTGGAGGGAGGTTGACATTGACAGCTGGTTTATTATCTTCCTATTTTATGACTAATCCTGTCATCGCGTGTAGCTGCATTGAGATTGACTAACCCAGGTGTGCTGCAGGATAGAAGAGAAGTGAAAGCAAAATCCAAATTCATGGCTTGAATTGGGGACCAGATTCTTGGCTCTACATTCATTTTAGACTTTATCTTCCACGGCTTTCTGTATTTCATAATTTCTGTTGTGCAGAAATTTCACTGCTTTGAAGTAATAGCCAAAATTTGCATAGCCATGAAGCATGTACTCTAAACATCTTATGCAGAGGTGCATAAGAAGTAAATGTTTTTGTGTTGAAGGACTCTTAGGAGATATATGTATTTTAGATAGAAAATTATTTAATTGTTATTCTTTTCTTCTTACTTTCCTGCTATTATTACTAATGCTGTATTTCAAGGGTCTTAGTTTTTCAGTGTCCATGACTAGCTTATTTTACTCAGATAGCAGAATACATTTCACAAGTAAGGCTGCTTCCACAGCCAGCAGCCTGGGTTACCTAGGAGGCAGTGTTGGCTGTGTGCTGGAGCTGAGGAGCTGTGCTTGAACTGTACATCTTCAAGTTGCTTGAGGCCCTCACAAGGGCCCTTAATATTAAGGACAAACAACAACAACAAACCTGCACTTCTTCCCCTTGGTTTCAACAAAGAGAGATGACTGTGTAGTTCGAGCTGCTCTTTGTGCCAGATGGATTGTTACAGTAATGCAAGCATTGCACATGACGTGTGTAGAGCCAAAAGGCTTTCTGAGCTTTACAGAAACTATGGAACAGCAAGACAGTTTCTGGATGGAGGTATTTTCATATCACAGAATTACTCATGTCACTGGCACCCTTACCAGCCTTTCTTCGTGAAAAACAAACAAACCAGCAAGTACTTGCCTTCTCACCCACACTGCTCAGATCAGAACTGATGATGGGAAAGCACAGAGCAGAGAAGCTGGCACTGCTCCCAGTGCATCTGCTTAGTAGATAAAGAAGACTTTTAGGGATCTCGGTCCGCTTTTTTTCACTTTTGCCTTTGATTCACCTCATGGCATTTATCGAAGTATTTGTTGCCTTTCTTTGGGAGTGATTTTGGGGGTTAAAATCTATGGGATTTGTTTTCAAAAATTAGGCTCAACAAGGATGGACTATCAGTCTGAACTTTGAATTTCTTACTTATTGCCAGTTTGAATCATACCATAAACACTATTTAAAGATTTTGTTTTTCATATTTCTTTTCCACATCCTTGACCCTGACTGGTAAGCTGGACATTTGTGTTTGCCTTGGCAAGCTCCAAGCTGCTCATCTAGGGCAGGATGAAAACTCTATTTTCCTTTCGTAAACAAACTGTTCCTTCAGTATTTTCCATAAGGATTTACACCACCATTTTGCAACGCTTCTAGGAATTGAAAAAATCCTGCCATTCAGAGTTTTCATTTTATGGTTTGTAACACTGCAGAAAAATATTTGAGCAATTGCTTTCTGGGGTTGGATTTTAAGAGCTTTTTTCAGAACAATTTCAAATTCCAGAATCATTACGTTTTGTCATAAGGACTTTTATTAAAATTATAGCCATTTTTCTATTAACTATTCAATATTGCTGTGTTGAACTCTGAATTTTTTTAGAAGGATTTGAAAGATATTGAAGGAATATCTTCCTATAGGTGGCAGATTTTGCTGGCAAAGGAGAACTTTTCTGTTCAAGTGATTAGAACCAAGTAGTTCAGAGCCAGATCTAGCTCAAAGCTTTGTATGCATGTTCTTCCTGGCTACTACAAGCCTTTACTGAGTGGAAGGAGAGTATTTGCCATGAAGTAAACCTCCAAAAAATCATAAAAAGCCATTGGTTCTAGTCAACAGTCCATAAATGTTATTTACTCTCTCTTTTAAATAGTAATACTAATTTTATAAAGGCATATTAAAAGTGTATTTGAACTCCACAAACTAAAATTACACTTCCTTTTTTGTTGCAGATCTGGGACATGAGTGATGATGAAACAGTCTGAAAATCAGCTGAATAAGGTGGAAGATGACCTACTTTGAACTGCATTGCTGCCTTTTATCTGTTATTCGACAAGTTAATGATTGCTTACCCATGACTACAATGAATATGAACAATTGTAAACCACATACTGACATGAATATCTTCACTGTGAAAGCAGTCTTTTCTGGATATAACTCTCCGTATTTTCATTTTTATTATGTAAATAACCAAAATAATGTGGTTATGTTGAAATCTTATTCCTTTTTTTTTTTTTTCCCCATTTTCTAAATAAGACATATATAAAATTTGCTGCTTAAGTAAACTTTGGTATCTCATTTGTTCCATTTTTTTATTTTGCTTCGCAGCAGACATGTCTAAGTAGCTTGTCTAAATGGTTTTTTCTTCATCTTTCCAACACTTGTTCACCTTTAATTAGAGTTCATTATTAAGATTGAGAATATTCTCCTGTTGAGAAATAAACTGCATCTTTATGGGAGAGCAGGAGTAGGTTAAAAACCTACACTTGCAGTGTATATCACATTGCTTTCTATTTCAAAGTAAATATTTGTAGTACAGTTGATTCCCTTTATTATAGTATGATTGTTCTTACCTGTGCCAAAAGAGAAATTATTCTCTCTTATAATTTCATTCTATGGAAGAAATGTGGTTTGACTTATATTTACACAGGAAGGACCAAAATGGATCTGTATCATACTTAATGCTCTGCTGAAGTTCAATGTTCTGCTATGTAGTAAAAATTGCTTAGAGGATGAATCATTGATTCATTAAAAACTTGTAGTTAAATGTATTACTAAAATAAGAAGTTGATTTTCTAACTCTGCCATTCCTGGTTGCTGTTGTATACTACTTTACAGGTGTTAAACACTGATTCTGATTTTTATTTTGACTGGAGTTTAAGTATTTCAATTTCTGCAGCATCAGGAATGGCTTCAGATGTTATGGCTGAGACTGTGAGAATCTTTGATGGGTTCTCAAGGATTTGTAAAAATGGATTTGTAAAATATCAAAGTTACCTTATTACAGAACTGAAAGCAAATCTATTGTTTTTTATCTTGCAATAGGATTTGGAAGTGTAATTGAAATTCATTTTAAGGCTTTATATTGTGGAGACTATGGACTAACTTGCTCAGAAAAGAAGGGAGAATCGCTTTTTGTGGCAGTCTTTATTTCTGTTATACATTATGAAAATGAGTTGACCAACTGGTCAATCCAATTAATTTAGCTTGGTTTACTTCCTTTAACATAAGCTCTGAATATCCGGTGCAGATAATTTCACAGTTTCTCTCTTAGGCCACATCAGAGTATGTTCTGTCAGATCAAATTCACCTTAAAAGAAAGGATATCTGCAGGTCCTATACTCCCATCATAAAAGAAGACTCACTGAAACATGTTGAGGTTAGCATTAGTTGTTAAGCTTTAATGGCCTGTTTAGCTAACTTCATTGTAGTATATATATCTGAATTAAATATATTTTTTTATAGGAAACTGATCTTTTGGTGGTCAGGTAATGATCAATAACATCGATAACACGTGATAAACATTTTTAAGTAGTTTATTAACATGCAGAATTACCTATGAGCTGTATGATTTGCATTCTGTAGTTCTTTTGGCATTGTGTATTGGTACTGGGTAGTTTGAAGGGAAAGACCTGCATTTTTATCTTTTGGAACTGCTGAGTGTAAAACTCTTCTGCAGTCTTTGATTATCTGAAAATGTAAAACTAGACATCTTTCTAAAAATCTGATGAACAGTAATAGTTACTTTAAATATCTTGATTTTAATTACCTGTTAAAGTAACTTTCAGTTTAAAGATGCAGTGTATCTATTTAATTGCAGCTGTATGCAAGATCTAAAGGTTGCAATTCAGGGTTAATATGGTGTTTCCTTACCTCTCTAATTTCAGTAGCATACAGTTCTGAGGCTGAGCTGCTTGCTGTACATATGCTTCCCAGATGTCCCTGATGTTCTGAAGCTCTTCAGTGTGTCAGAATAACTTCCGTTGTCTCACTTTAATGTTTTTTCTTCCTCCTTGTGGAACAAAATGGTCCTTATTCTGCAATTTCTAGGCATTAATTGAGTAAGAAATCAGAAGAATACATAGAAATGAAGTGCTATTAACATTTCCATTACTGTTCAAATTCAAATACCATTATGAGATAAGCACATTTATTTACTGGCCTGTAGGTACTTAATGGAAGGCTTTTGGCACTACCCTTTCAACTGCAGATATTGGTGTTTAATGGAAGTTAAACTTCGACCTTTCTTCACTTGTTTTCAGTCTGGTGTTAAATCCTCTTTATCAATGTTATAGCCTATCAATCTGGAATAAATTTCACTTAAGGCATGCCCTTTGTATTAGATGTAAATTGATAGTAAGATTTTACCCAGTATGTGGTTTGGCCAATGTGAGAATCTGCTCCATGGAACATGGGATAGGTTTGATTCTGAAGCCTTCAGCATTGGGTTCTAAAAGGGAGAAAGGGCACAAGTGTGTAAATGACACTTAGACCCATGCAGAAAGATTCATGATGACCTAGATCATTTGGTATAGAAATTCACCAAGGATTTTTATTACTCAAAAGCTGATTACTCCGAAGAAATAAAAGAGGATTCTGCTTCAGTAGAGATCAACAGCATGAAGTGTAGTCTTGTACATCAAATGGAATTCTAGTAATTGCTGCAGCCCTTATAGCCATTGAGCTTCAGTCTGGAAAAAATGTTCCTTCCTTGTGCTCTGTATGGGTTTGGTATTGCGTCCTCAGGGAACTCCAGTGAGATGGACGGAAATTTTTTTACCAGCAGTACTATTGTTCTACTGCCTGTATAATGTTCTCTTGTTTGGCTACTTACCTTAAATACATACAGTAAAAGTCATAGCAAAGTTGAATTTTTTTCAATGTATGAGTGATTTCTTTTAGTTTCTCACCTGTCATTTGTGATTTTTCTCCTTTTAATTTCTCATAGTCAAAGAAAACTCTTACTGGTAGAGTTCTTGTTTTTGAACTTTTTATTATGCTATTGTTTAGCATTCTGTGATTTAGTGTCACATGATAGCACTTCTGTTTCTTCCTCTTATTGAGTGTATGCTAACTATTCTGATTGGAACAGCTAATACCTAGTTCATCGTTGCATTGCTCAGGGTCGTTTGACTGAAGTGTTCACCCAGTTCCCAACTTTTCTTTAAGTTTTCTTCCTCTTTTTCAAGACAGATTTAAAAAAAAAAAAAAAAAAAAGTCAGATAGCTGAGAAGTGACTGAAGGTAGACTTTGGTTTTCAGGATTCCCATTAATGTCAATTATATGTGAAATGATCACTAAGCTTCTGATGCCAGTCAAGTTTGCCTGTTTCTTACAGTAGCAGTTCAGAGCCATTACTGAATCCAAAGGATTTTCATATATGGTTTCTTTTCAGAGCATAACCACATCTTAAAAGTTCAAGGAGAGTCCTGGTTCTCTTTCTATGGGAAGAGGAAGGACAGCTTACATTCTTTCAATACTACTTATGTTGCAAGCTAGCACATAATCAAACTTTTTTTTGTTGTTCTTCCAGTTGAAGGTATCTCTATTCTGCACTGCAAGTCCAGCCAGTTCTCTAACACACTGTTAATAGCCATTCTCTTCTCCGTTGGTTCAGCGTTGGCATTAAAAGTGCACAAAAGCTGACAAGAACATGCAGCTGGATGGTAGGATTTTTTCTTATTACTTTTCCAAATTTTTACACCTAATCTTTTAGGTTGTTTTTTTTGTTTGTTTGTTTGTTTGGGGTTTTTGTTGTTGTTGTTTTGCTAGTTTACTTCCTTGCTTGTTTGTTTTTAAATAATAACGCAATATTTGCAATTCTTCGCTTAGAAACAAATAAGCATTTATACTCCAAAGAGAAGCCATTAAAGAAAAATTTGCAACATGGCAAACTTAACAGACTTCCTAAGAAACATAATTTGGAAGATGTCCTGAGCCTGTTACCATTTTTTTTCCAAATCCATTGACCTGGCTTCTTTAATTGTTTTACGTTTTGTTCCTTGTTTTAAATTGCTTTCAGTGCAAATATTGTGCTCATCATGCATAGCCTACCAAAACAAAACTTCTTGTTGGAGGGTTTTGTGCACCTTTTCTCTTTTAGAGGGCCTGGATTAACAGCTGTATAAGGCAGAAATACCACCTAGAAAAATTTCATGCTGTTACAGTCTGACAGTGTATAAATTCATAACCTATGAAAAACCTGCCTACCATTTAAATTGGAAATCTCATTCCCTTAAAGTTCCCTGGATTTTCTCCAGAGCTCTAACGGTGTTTAAAAATAGTGTGGCACCACATAGGTAATGCTATGGGTTTGAAATTAGTGTAGACATTAGCTCTCTGTTATCACTTCAGCTACCAAAATTTGAAGTTTGTTTACTTATTTGTGCAGCACTTAGCAGGATTTGAAATTAAACAAACAAACAAAACAGCAATCTAGTGACAAAGAATGTTTTCAGTCTCATTTTACTTTTATTGATACCCTTTGGTCCTGTACTACTGACAGCAGTGACTTTTCATGGTGAGTAGTTATTGAGGAATGGAGGGACAGCAGGACCTTTCCTTTGGAATAGCATCAATACTAGGTTGACTCAGAGAGTTTAACAGTTCCTGCTTTTTCTCTGATTTTTTTTTTAGTAAGTTCTCACCTGTAAAATGTAGAAAAATAGAAAATATATGCTTAGCAAAGAGTAGCCATGGTTTTTTTCTCTCAGTTATCCCAGACCAAAAGAAAGAATCTGTTGCTCTGACCCATTGTTTTATCAAAGTGTTGCTGAGAGTTGTTTGAAGTCGGGCAGTGTTAACCAAAATGGGCTGTGGCTTGGGCTAATTTGTAGGCACTTTACTCTTAAGCGCAGTAGCTGAAATACGGCAGTCTGTATTCCACCAGCCGGTGACTGGTATTTTGTCCAGGTTGTAGTGAATTCTTCTGAATGAGTCACTTGAGAACTATATTAACCTAGCCAAGGAAATTGGCTCAGCAGAAGGGAAACTTAAGCTACTCCCAGAAGAATTAATAGTAATACATTGAAGTAGAAGTGTTGCTGAGTAGCGTAAGGTATTTTCTAACCTATTTGTTGCTAAATTCTCTAGCAACAAATTTTTCATCTCGTTTCCCAATTCAGGTAAACCTCATTCCCGGATAAGCGTAAAGATGAGCACTCCAACCATCTATAATTTCAAGTACTGATGGTTGCTCCCCAGTAATCAACAACACAGTCTGCCAATTGCAGCTTCACTGTAGCATTTTTTCACATCTCATGGAATTATTTTGGACGTTCTTTGACAAGATTGTTAGAGCTCTCGACAGCTGTTTGTCTGAACTTCAAGTACTAAGTGTGTTTTAGTCAGTTTAGTCAGGCCAGGCCTCACCTGCAGTTGCACCTTCTTGTAGGCACTTCCTTCAACTTGGCAATAAAAAGGGGCTGTCAGGAGTTCTGGAAGAGATGTGTTGTTTCCTAGCTGGCAGGGAGTATTCGCTGTGTTACCGTTTGCTGTTGAAGTCTAAATGCCTGTTCCAACTTGCTTTTTGAATAGATATTTATATAGGATGTTGATATGAAGGAGAAAGGACTTTGCCTCTCTAACTGAAGGTCACATGCATATAATGTTCTACTGCTGCAAATAGAAAGGATGATTTTTTTTCAGTCATTCTTTTTAACTTCCCTCCTTTCCCATATAGTTACTTTCTGCTATTGTTTGGCAGTGGATTGCTGCTTCAGCAGCCTTCAGGAGCATTCAGTAATTCAGGTTTATTTGCTTTTGAGCACCAGACGCTTGATTTTTGTTTGATCTCACCAGAATAATTCATTTTTTTTATTTATTAGTGAAATGATCTTATCCACTACATAAAAAACAAACAGGAGGCGTTATTCTTTCTCACTGAGGAAACCACTAATGTTTTCCTCACTTTTGGTGCAATGTTTGTACTCTCTTAAAAAGCTTCAGTATGGCATCTCTGGCAAGATGAGACAGTGCTGAAGGAGCTTGGTGCATTTGAAATGAAAGCTGGCTTCTCATTTCTGAAATAATTTTACTTTCTAAATCAAACCAGTGTGGGCTAAAACTGTGTACAGAAATGCAGGCTAAAATTGTTTCTACGTCATGTCAGCATGGACCTGGAAGAGCTGCTGGGCAGTGAAGGTTCCAAGTCTTGCCTGCCTTCTCTGAGTTTTCTGGTTGACAGCCAGGAAATCACTGTCTTCTTCCCCCATCTTCCCAACCCCCTCCTCAGCCCAGTCTTCCCCTCACAGGTAGCAGAAGGGTGTCAATGGATAAGATTAATTAATTTCCAGTGACAAATTTCTTTCAAATTTGTGCAAGAGTGAATGGAAATCTGCAAGGCAGTTGTGATTTTGCTTGAGGGTTTTGCTTTGTCTATTAATGTCTCTGTTTTCATTTCACGTTTGGAAGCCTGACTTTCATACAGTATTTCTGTAGGTGTTACCACTTCCTCAGGAACCTGTGACTCAGGCAGTGTATAAATGAAATGACATCACTGGCAACTTTTGTTTGAATTGCCTATTTCCTAAATAGGAACTGTCGTTTTTTTTCTTTTAATACTTGCATCATTGTTTTCTGTTTTGTTTTGTTTTTTGAGAGAGGAAGGGGAAATGAGGGCTTTTGATTATCTAGGACTATTACAAGTAACCAACTGAATGTGTTTTATCCTTTTGAATCATTGAAATCAACAGTGCTGAAGTTTACTTAAAACAGGAGATTAGCATTTCTACACAAAGTATTTTATGAATGAAATCATTGCCAGTATGTGTTAGCAGAGATTCTTTTGGTACAAAGCATTCTTAATTTACTGCTGATGTGTTGAGAGAGGGACAGTGGGCAAACAAGAAGAGCCTGAGCATAATTTTCCATATTATTTTGGAAGTAAAGCAAACAAAAAACTGTGTTTTCATACTACTGGTTGAGCTTCAGTTTTAAGTGGATCTCCCTTGCTGCTCCCTCACTAGTGTGTACACTACAGGAGATTCTTGGTATGTTTCAGTGTTTCCTGCTCTGTAACTGATATTTTTCAGTGATATCACTCCATGCATCCATAAATAAATGTGAAGACCCGGAGTAAAATTTACTTGTTAGCCGAGTGACTCCAAAGCAGGCAGGAGCACTGGTTATAGCAGACATGGTGCAGGGAAACCTTCAGCAGCTGTGTTTCTTCTTTGGACAAAATTCCCCATGACGTCACTTGAGGAGTTGGCTGTTAAACCGTGAAGAGTAATGTCAGGAATCATTGTCATCAGAGGAACGCGAGAAGTTGGATGTCTGTCTAGATCGTTTATTCATAGTGCTGCGGGACAGGCTATAAAAGCGTTGCATTTATTTATTATTGTCATGCGCAAAGGATCACTGTTCTTTTGTTTAAATAGCAACAGCTTTGGGACTTTGTAAGACATGGATACAACAGAACATTGTCTGAGTATGGCAGAGTCCCTTTGGCTATGCTTTAATTTTATCAGTTCTTACCAAGTGGACAATCACTTTGTGGTTGCACCTGAAGGGAAAACTGAAATGAGGTCTGTGTATTCAGGGAGGTGGAGTTGGTGACTACTACCATAGGTTGTGGTTTTTCTTCTGACTGTGTGATTTCACGTCAAACTTTGGCACAATTAAGAACTGTATAATTAAAGTCATTGCACTAAAGGAAAGCACTAAACCAAAGTCTTGGGGAAAAAAAAAAATGCTATGTTTTGTAGGGTTTTGTTTTGTTTCTAATAATATAGAGGGCCTGGTAATTTCTTGGAGTTTTTTTGTTTCTGTTTTTGTTTTTTGTTGTGTGTGTGTGTCTGTGTGTACGTGTGTACATGAGCTTTCTTTTTTTTTCCTTTACTTAATATTTCAGTCATCCTTCTCAAACTTTCTGTTCAGTCTCCTTTGCATCCTTTATTTT